CCAGTACCCCTTAAACTTCAAATGGTCATAACTATTGCATCCCTTATCCGTTTTCGACGTTCTTTATATCCACGAAAAGGTAACGAGAAGCCCTACACTTCTATCAACTTTATTTAGCCTGAAAACCAACCAAAATAAAATCAAAAATTCATAAAAGGCTCGAACCAACGCCTTTAACGATACCCTTGGGATCCAAAACACAAACTGAATACTCGGATCGTCCAAACTACATCATCCACCTCCAAATGAACCCAAACCCGATTCTTCAAGGGTTCTAAGTCAGCTAATACCCATTCCTTTCTCACCGCCCCACAGTGGCAATGATTTGAAATAGGGTGTTACATTTTGGCTTCTTGTATTTGATCTTCTTTTCATATCAACAAGCCCGGGGTCATCATTCATGTGTTTTTTTGAAGCAGTAGGGCGATGACAGGTGGATCTGCTTCTGTTTGGTGGTTTGATATGAAAATCACATTTTCTCCCTCATGGTTTAATAAAAATTATTAGGATTTGAACTAATCATATTAATATAATATAAAATAATAGAAATAAGTATGGAAATGAGAATGAGGAACCTGATTAAGCTGTTGTTCTATTTTAGTGAAAAAAGAGACATTTCCAACATATTATTCCCTGATAAATATCATTAGGCTTCAGAATGTCAATAATAAATATAGCTGAATGAAATACCAATAAACAAAAAGTGAGTAACCAGAAATTGATCAAAGGATGGATATAACTTTGACCAAATGTATTGTAGTCAAAGGGTACCCGAATAGCTTCATGATATGGTGAAAATTCAAATGGCTCTTGCATGTTTAGAGATGAGGCTCATTAATCATCATCAAGATAAATCAATGTTTTAGGTCAAATGGTCAAACCTTCACATCCAAAAACATATGATCAAAAGCTACACGCATGTTTGACACCACAATATCTTCTACACAAGGATCTCCACTTTTGAGAACCTAAAAAAAAGAATGATAACTTTTTTTTATAAAACTAACAAGGTATAAATATAAAATCCACTAAACCAGTATCTAAAACTAAAGGATTAGTACAGGGCAATCCCTAGAAAGAAGTTTACTGTAGTTTTGTAGTTATGATACAACTCTTCCATTGATTGAGCTATGGGTTTGGCAGTGTTTCAGCTTCTAGCTCTCTTTGAATTCTAGAAAGGAGATCTGCGTGAAATATTCTTATTGAAATAATAGCATATGAAATTATGAATGCCTCAAATAAGGTATGTTTAGAGTTACATGCAAGTGTAATTGTACTTAAATCGCGTTACACAATTAGGTTTTCATTGAAAGGTGATAGTTGACATGAATATTCCCTACAGAAAGGACACATCTATGAATCTCTACATAAACCAAAGCATCACAATTGAGATCATTTCTTGATTGGAGCACATTGTATGTAGCAGCCTTGGAAATATTGAATGATACAATATGGAGTAGATCCAATAAAAAATAAAGTAAAAAGAAGAAATAAGAGAAGTGTGAAGATTATCAGATGAAACAAACCTATTGCTTAAATATTGTAAAATAAGATAGGTAAATCTTTCAGGTAAATAACCACCATTAACAACAAGGATCCCATTTAACAAGTTCAGATGACATTCCAAGATTTTCCCAACATACTTTTTCTCAAAGTGTTGTGCAAAAGCTCTGTTATCTGGATATTGCAATTTCAAATCTCCATACCTGTGTAAAAGCATAATCATTCAGTTGTTTATAAAGTCTTAAAATTAATATGTCAAATCTCCATTTAACAAGTTCAGATGACATTCCAAGATTCTCCCCAGCTTCATGCTCGATTTTCCCCACTACAACTACATGATAAATTGGGTCAATAACTACATGCTATAGACTGAGATTTTAAAGTGAAATCAGAGCAACATAGACAAATGTGCCTCCGCCAATGATACTCATATGGAGTTGGTTGAATCAAGAGATATATTTCTATGAAATATATTAGGAAACCAGGAAAAAATAAAAGAAAAACGAATCTGTAGCTGAGAGGTTGAAGGTTTATGGTAGCTGTAGGGTATGACGGTCTCCATCCGGTGGTGGCTTCACAGGGAGGTGATGGCTAATGGCGGTGAGCATGGAGGACTCGTTACTTGAGGAACTGAAGATCGAGAGAAGTAGATGGAGGGTCTATGAACCGAAATCCTAGTTCCAACAATAGTCGTGGTTCCAACAACTGTACCCTTTGATTTCAATTTCATGGCCTGGTGACCAAAAAACCTTCGATTTCACTAAGAACCGGAACCCTAGTTCCAACAATAGTTGATTTTGTGGCCCTATATATATTTTTAGGCACAAGACTCCTTGATTTCTACTGACTGGTGTGGGAGAAAGGAGAAGCGACCGTGGTTCTCCGATTGAGGGTTTTTGGATATTTGACTGAGCGAATTAGAGCGGGGGCAGAGAATGGGTGGAGACATCGGTCGGAGATCAAATATTTGGTGATGGTGCGATGTTGTTGTGGGAGAAAAGAGCAGTGACGGTGAGAGAGACATCGTGGTTATCCGATTGAGGGATTTTTTTGGTATTTGATTGTGAGAGAGAGAAGAACGATGGAAAGATGGTAGAGTAGAACATGGAGTCTTTTCAAACTTTTGGAATTTCATTTCCCCCCCGAGCTTCTAAAACGCATGTTTATGAAAATATATATATATAACGAAATGCATACACGACACACATTTTATCATATGCGTCCTCCGTGTTTTTTTTGGACACTAATTTTAGGTCACGCACAAATGCGTGTCCTCTATCCTTCAAATTTTGTGAGAGCTGACATATTTTTTAGGTCACACACTTTAGCGTATCATAAAACCATGTGTGTCATGGTTCGCACGTCATTAAAGTTCAGTTTTCTTGTAGTGTATAACTCACTAGGCATTATTGTCTAATATATGTTTTGTTTTGGTGACATGTCTTCTAGGATTTGGTGTGAAGCCTTAGAGTGTAAATAGGGTAACAACAAGTTAGACGGAGACTAAATGTAGTTCTCTTAATGTTGTATAAATTGCGTTGCTTATTTATGGTTTTGGTTGATGTTAACTTTATACAACTGTCCGTTTTGGAACAAAACTTGTAATATTGCGGGTTTTGGTAAACCATATTTTGATAATTATGTTTAATACTATCAAAGACAACCGAGACCATGACTTATAAAGTTAAAAAGAATGGGTGTTATAGTATAAAAAAATTAGGATTGGAAAGAAGAGTAAAGTGTTAAGGATGGGAAATGATATGGATTACAAATAGTTACATGGCTATTACAAACCTTAACGCATTATCCTTCATTACACTTTTCCTTATATGTCTCAACAAAGCAGTGCAACCGAACATATGAATCATACCATTTTAGCAAGACTCGTTGTATGTCATCTGAGGAAGATTTACAACTATATTTTACGAATACGTAGCCTACATGACATGCAGTTTTATTAATCGTCCGCCCTTAATTCTATTGGATAAAAAGACTTTCGTTGATGTTTGGTCTAGTTTGCCCATAAACTTAAATGAGCTATGGATTTTTTTAGTGTATTGCATATGCTCACATTAAATACTTGAGATTTGAAGTATGTTTTTTATTGGATACAAATTAGAGGTGAAATGGTATTATCTTTCGAATCTCAAGACGAGCAAAGTGATTATTAGTTGAAACATTGTTTTCAACGAAACTGTGATGTATTTCTGTTCCAAAAGCAAAGTTGATCTCAACATGATTAATTGCAAATTTTTACCGATGCTTATCCCAAACCCATTGATATGAGATTGCTTAGATTGAAGTGGAGCACACGATCGATCCAAAATTACCAAAAATCAAGAAAATTCACAATATTAGGGAAACACTGTTTTGTCGACTACATATGATTCTTCACCGTATACTTATTCTATTGAAACTAATAGGGCTAGAATGGTTATTACACCTCTTAAAATGTATAACAATTCCGCTAATATGTTTGTTTATGTTTTCTCGATTAACGAGTATTTCAAAAATCATTTTATTTTGAGGCAATTTCTACTACTAATTATGAAAAACAACACTGCAAGAAGAAATGGAATATCTAGAAAAGAATAAGATCCGAAAGCTCGTCAAGTTAACCAAGGAAAAAAAAGTCAATTAGGTACAAGTAGATGTACATGAAAAAAGACGATGTCAGATCCTAAACTATGTGTTCTCTCACATCACTAAGCATGATTTTATCCATACTTTACTTAGCATTGTTGCAATGTAGGTTTGGAGCATAAAATTTTTGTTGTGAAAATCTCTTTATTATATGGTGATTTGGAAGAAACAATTCACATGGAGCAGCCTATGCGTTTTCTATTTATAAAACCAATTAGTTTCTTTTTTGTTCATTCATTTCATCATTATTTTCCTTCCCTCCAGCAACAACAATTTATACTTCTCTATCTCCCTTCATCTTATCGAGTTTTACAAGTCTAAGGGAAATTAAATATCCTTCGACCTTTTTTTCCTATTTATATTCCTATCCATGTGAAATGGTGACAAATGTCATATTTGGATAATATTAATTATATTTTAATACACTTGTCATCATTTGAAATGGATAGAAATATAAGTAGAAAAAAAGTAGAAGAAGATTTAATTTCTCTAAGTTTAATAATAAGAATGTTTTGTGGTAGGAATTTTCACACACCGATTTGGTGTTTTGCTTGTGAATGTTTGTGTTCTAGCAACGTAAATTCATTATACAATATGATTGGGGGTTGCTATTTTCTTGAAACATCCATGTAGTTGAAAATATTATAATATCACATAGCCACAAAGAAAAAAGAAGATGTCTTGAGAATTTATGTTTGCGTAATTGGGGGCATTAATTGAAAAACATTAACCTCCACACGTTTGAGGGTATTTTGGGAATAGCGCCCACACGCACAACCCCTATCCCCCACCCCCAATTAATTAATTCGATCAATCATTCTCGTTTCTCGCAAAATCGCAAACAACACCGCTTTTCTGTTTTCAAATTCTCGTCTCCTGCTATCTATATATTTCTCTCTCCTGCTGCAACGACGACTTTCTCTCTCTGTGTGTGAATAGAGAGCTGGGGAGAAGGAGATGGCGAGGAGACCGGACGACGAGTACGATTACTTGTTCAAGGTCGTACTGATCGGAGATTCAGGCGTCGGTAAATCCAATCTTCTCTCTCGATTCACTCGAAATGAGTTTTGTTTGGAATCCAAATCCACCATAGGCGTTGAATTCGCTACTCGTACCCTCCAAGTACTCTCTCTCTCTCTCTCTCTCTGTGCTTATGATTTGATACATGAAATTTACTTGTGTTTGACTTATTTGATCTCAATTATGAGTTACGGTTACTGAATCTTAAGAAACTATAAGTTGACTCCGATATCGATGGTCATTTACTCATTTTATTGCTTGATCTGTTCGTTAGAGTTGATATGGGGGTGCTACTGTTGTAGGTAGTTGATTGAATTTGAATTATACACGGTTTTCGCAAGTTAATTGTTTGCTTCATGATCTTTGTTGAGAAGTTAAATACAGATTTAAACATTCGATAAGTAATTCACCAGATCAGTTTTCCTCAACAGTTTTGCTATCTGTAGTTAAAGTAAGTTAGCGTTTGAAGGCGTATGTCATGTTAATCATTTTTCGTTCCAGGATTTCAAATGGTCTAAAAATCCGATTCTGTCTGATGTGTTATACCAATTTCATTGCTTTCCATATCAATTATTGTAGCCTTTCTCCCTTAGTTTGACAACGAGGAGCATTAAGATGACTGAACTCTTGAATTTTTGAACTAATACTAGATTTCACAAGTTACAAACGATGCTGAATTTCAGGATCCAACTTTTGCACAAGTACAAATTTCAGCCTCGTATTTTTTATTTGGGTAACCAAATTTCAGATACCACACATAACATCATTATGTAGTTGACTTGACTGACTATTGAAGTAAATCTTTGCATACGAAACCATTGAAGACTTAAAAAACAAACAAATTGAATTTTCATAAAAGGATTAAATGATTCAATTCATTACCATTAACACAATTAACCTTCCGTAAGACTGTAACATACCATTAAATGATTGCATTAATCATTATCTGGAATTCTATGCACATGATTCTGATTTTCAAGCATCTAAAATAGAGTAAACAACAAATTTGATCCATATGATTAGTCATTTTCTTTGGTTAATACGTACCCTAAACACTAAACTCTAAAACCCTGAATCCTAAACCCTAGGGTTTATATCTCATATGATGTTCATTGTCAGGACAGTATGGGCCAGCTTAGGGTTTGTGTGGGCCAGGTCCCAGGATAGTGTAGGTCAGTTCAGGGTTGTTTAAAAGAATAACAATAACCCTCATGTAGAAACCAAAATCTAACTATTCAAGATTTTATATCAATAACTTTAAATTCTCTCCATCAACTTAAACTTTTACATAATAAATTAAAATCTTATTTTAGGTAGAGGGAAAGACAGTGAAGGCTCAAATATGGGACACAGCGGGACAAGAACGATACCGAGCCATAACAAGTGCGTATTACCGTGGGGCCCTAGGGGCACTTTTGGTATATGACACAACAAAACCAACAACTTTTGAAAATGTAAGCCGATGGCTAAAAGAACTTAGAGACCATGCGGATTCAAACATAGTAATCATGCTAATTGGAAACAAAACAGATTTGAAACATCTAAGAGCTGTTACATCAGAAGATGCTCAAACATTTTGCTGAAAAAGAAGGGCTTTCGTTCATTGAAACCTCTGCATTAGAAGCTGTAAATGTTGAGAAGGCGTTTCAGACGATTCTTGGAGAGATTTATAGGATTATAAGTAAGAAATCACTTGCGATTGGGAATTCGGGAGGTGGGATTGGGAGTAGTGTTAAACAAGGGGAGACACTTGAGGTGGGGTCACAGGAAGTTAATGCAAAAAAGGCTTGTTGTTCTTAGTTTTTAAGTTTTGGAGAGAAAAAAAATGGGAATCGAGATTTGTTCGTGTTTTGAATTTATGAATTATGATTACTAGTAGTATTTGATTCTTGTTGGTGATGGTATGGTTGACTTTCTAACATACATACATATTGAGGTTTTGACTTTAAATTCTGTTGCTAGATATTGTCTTAAGGGAATGTGTTGTTTGTTTTTGACTTAATGGGTTAATGGGTTCAGAAATTAATGGCTACAACTATATGTGGATGTTTATTTTTTTTTTTACTCAATGGGCTTTAATAGATTGAACACTATATATATGGTTGTTTCTTTTTAACTTGATATGGACAAAAATGACTTAATGGGTTAACTGTAAAAACTTGGCTTAATGTATTAAGACACTAGCCATCTATGTATTTTTACTTCCTACTTTGTACCCTCAACTTCTCTCATGTTAAAATAGATGAATAATGTTAAAGAAGATAAATATTGTAGATTTTAAATAAGATAAGGGTGAAATGATATTTTTCTATATAAGTGTTAATTTTTTGTTTGATTTTTAAGATATGGTTAAATTGTGTTTAACTTTTGGAGTTTGCTAAAGGAAATGGAGAAAATAGAGAATATATGGGTAAAATAGTGATTTTTATAAATGTAACGGTTGAACTACTAAGTAGACGGTATGTGGACGAAAGATGTAATAAAACTATATTTTATCAACCATCTATACAATAAATCAAATATTTTTGACCAAATTCATACATTTTTAGATAGTATAGGAACAAAAATTGTAATTTAGCATTTAATTTTATTATTTTCTTGCTATGAATGTAATGTGTTATTTTAAATTATGTTTGTTAATTATGAAAGAAATTGGATGCTTAAAATCAATCATATGCTATTTTTGATAGGAGTTTTATGACATTAAGTAATTGTGGTAAGACTTTGGTTTCAATGCAAGATCTGGTATGACAGTGTTGTTGCTTATAGTACAAGCTGATTTTGCGACAAAATGTTTGGTACAACCCATGATATTCTTTAGTTTTTCTTTTGGCTTATACTCAAATTATATATTTATTAAAATGTCTTGTCCCTTGAAAACCAAATCATAAAAGTTGATCCAACCAAATTGTAATTTGGTGGATCGTATTTGGATTTAATTTAGACTATTTGGATTATGTTTTGAAAACCGGAATAAATTTGGATTCACTTGATCGAATCAGATCAATCCATTCAAACGAATACACCTTATTGTAACCAACAAACTGGGTTACCTAGTATTTGTGACTGTCTAGGTTTACTAGTAATAAAATTACATTAGATAGTTTCAGATAATAGGAGTTTAACGTATTAAAAAATAATATATTAGTTTTTTAAAAATTACATGAGAAAATGTTGAATTTTTTTTAATTTCTCCTAAAAATAATATTTAATAACTTACTTTATTATGCTTTAATATTTATGTGAGATCTGCCGCATTATTCTGCCATAAGTCAATACACATATTCTCATCGATCAATGTGGAATTAGGTAATTATTATTTATTCCACACGATATTATATGTTAGAAATGAATTCCACGATCTCTAGAATATTTTTATCATAAACAAACTGCCAGTAGAAGAGTCGGAATATATATATATATATATATATATATTATATATATATTATATATTATATATATATATATATATATATATGTTCAAATGTAGATTGACATCTATTGTCCGGATGATTAGACAATGTTATTCTGTGAGAATGACAAAGAAATTATGTTGTTTGATAATGTGAATACGTTCAATCTTACATAACTATCGTCGTTATCACGCATTCTCACAAATTAAATTGTCTATAAGGTTATTATAAAATTTTTTTATTATTCATATTCTGTCAGAATGTTGTCAGGATGTTTATTGAGTCGTATTCTGTAAGAATGAAAATGAG